TGTTGTTGAAAATGTTTACCAGGATTAAAGTTTATACACTGAAGAAGGGTTTATCTCTGATTGTGCTTACTTTGCTGATTAACTTTTAAGACTGGAAGAAATGGGACAAGGGTCCTTAATTTATCCATGTTACAGAATTTTTGCTTGACTTTTTGACTGAGTTGTTTTTATGCACAACTCGTGATTAGAAAAAATGGTTTTTCAAACACTACAAGGGAGATATATAAGAGAAGTCCTATCCACCAGAGGTGACCACTGTCATGTTTCTTGTGTGTACAAGACAGTGTTTATGCATGTGCAAGTACAAAAGGGCTCACATGTGTATCTTTTCTCTTTGAGACATTAATGTCATCATACCTGTATTCTGTTCTGTGACTTGCTTTCTCAAGAGTATTACCCTTCCTTATGAGGACGTGCCAAGCCATCTCATTCAGGGCTATTCTTTCTGCCTGGAACAGTCTTACAGATCTTTTTATGGTTTACTCTCTTCTAGCCCTTACTCAAATGCTGCCTTCTTTCTGGTGCCTTTCTTAGATACTCTATCTAAAATTTCACACACACCCCCATTCCTTATTATTTTCTATCCCCCCTTCCCTGTTAATAATGACTCACCTAGCACTGATTCTCAAACTTACTTTTTGTTTTGTATATTGTCTGTTTCCCCACCATAATGTACATTCTGTAGTGGAGAGAAATTTTTGACTAGGTCACTCACTGTTCAACCTTTAGAATAATATTGTACCCTACAGTAGATGCTCAATAAATACTTTTGAATGGAAAAGAGAATGATTACATTGTTTTCACATTTGAGTATTCCATAATTTATTATCCCATATTAATAGACATTTAAGTTCTTGTTTCCCCTACTTTTATGAATAATTTTTAAATTTTTATTAGCGTATGTTTGCAGTACCTAATGATTATGTTCATTAGGAGTTGGTACATGTATGTAATGCATCTTAATTCTTTGTACTTCCCCTTCCATTCTCCCTGTTCCCTCCCTCTCTCTCTTAATCCCCTGCCTGTTTGCAAATGATCTTATGAATAATTCTGTATTGAGTAGTCATATGTGTGTGTATGTGTATGCATATGTGTATATCTTTGTACTATGGTATGATAAGTTCCTAGTGCTAGGACTGTGAATTTAGATGGTGTTTACATTTTTAAGTTTTGAATAATTTTTTCCCATCATTTCCCTCCCCTACAAAAAAAAGTTGTATCAATTTAAAGTTCTGCTAACAGTGTAGGAAGATCCATTTCCCTATGCCCTTATGTTTATACCAGGTGTAATCAACCTTTAATCTTTTGCCAGTCTGATAGATGAAAATGATATCTTCATTTTAATTTCTTTCATCATGAGTGAAGCCAAGCACTATTTCTTATATTTATTCACCTTTTATACTTATTTTTCCATTTAGTATTCTTTTTCTATTGCTCTATTAGGCTATTTTGCTTGTGTTTTTGCCAATGCATCTTTGCTTACTTTGGTTCATTTCCTCTCTCTAGGTTGTAACCAGATATAACCCCAGAGAAATGTATGCATCTGCACCACTGTTATTCTTTGCCTAGAAAGTTTCTAGATCTAGTGTGCGCATCTTTCTGCTGCTTCTTATGCATATTTTTTGTTTGTTTGCTAGTAAAAATAACCATGTAAGCACATAGCAGATACTGACTATGTGCTAGGCACTGTGCTCAGCACTTTTATTGTTTCTTTATGTGTCACAGCAACCCTATCAGGTAGTATTAGTTGTCTCCATACACATAATTTTTGTTTGTTTGTTTGGTTGGTTGATTGGTTGGTTTTTTGAGATAGGGTCTTGCTTTGTGTTTTAGACCTTGAACTCACTAGGTAGCCAAGGCTGTCCTTGAACTGGTAGATCCTCCTCCTGCCTCAGCCTTCTGAGTGTTGGGATTACAGGTGTGCATCACTGCACCCAGTTTTATATAATTCCTAGTATAAACTGAGAGATAGTGAGATTTAAGTGCTTAGCCAAGGTCACAGAGCTAGTAAATGGCAAAGCCAGGATCTGAACCTAGGCAGAATGGCTCCAGACCACCCTGCCTAATCTCTTAAGTGCTGTGACCCGATAAAGTTTGTGGTTATGTTGCCCATTGTCTGTTTTCAAGGGGCCTTTCTGCCTGTCCTTGTTCAGAAAATTGACTGCAGTGGTTGAAATAAGGAGAAGGTATTCATTCATGTACAGGCCTGGGAGCTTTATCTTAAACACTGACTTCCAATTACTTGAAGTCAAAATAGTATATAAAAAAGTATATAGTGAAAAGTTTCAGTCCCACTCTTTTCGTCGTCTACTATATTTCCCCTGCCTTCTACTTTTATTAGTTTCTCTATATACTTTCTGTGTTTCTTTATATACTTACAAGAAAGATAAATACATACATACATACATGTTTATGTACATATGTATTACCCCATTCTTCTATATAAAGTAGCACCCTGTATACACTTTTTCATACTTTATTTTTTCATGCAGCTAATTCAGGGGTTATAAGACCATTTCATTAACGTATTTTTTAAGGATAATTCCAATGCTTTTTTTTAAAGTAAATTTTATCCCATTTCCCCCCAATCCCCCTCCCCTCCCTATGTACAAAAGCTTTGTTTCCATTTTTTCCTTCTATTTTCACTTTTTTCTTGTCCCTTCCTTCTTTTCTCCCTCCCTCCTCCCTTGTTCCCCTTCCCGTTTGAACACTTTCTTCCAATTTCCCAACATCCATTACACATCTCAGTCTTTATTTCCACATTCAATTTCTCACACTAGAGAAACAATGCAGTATTTAAACATATGTGTCCGATTTATTTCACTTAGGAGTATGGTCTCAAGGTCCATCCATTTAGCTATAAATGTCTGAACCTCATCCTTCTTTATGGCAGAGTAGTACTCCATTGTATAAAAAAACCACATCTTCTTTATCCACTTGTCAGTTGATGGGCATTTGGGGTGTTTCCAAGATTTAGCTATTACAAGCTGTGCTGCTATAAACATGGGTGTGCATATATTGCTGTGGTATGATGCTTTTAATTCTTTCAGGAAGATACCAAGAAGAGGTATAGCTGAGTCAAATAGAATCTCTAGTTTTACAGGGCCGCGGATTTAGCTCAGTGGTTTCACCACCTGCTGTGCAAGCACACGGATCCAGTACCAAAAAAAAAAAAAAAGAATCTCTAGTTTTAGTTTTTTGAGAAATCTCCATACTGATTTCCACAGTGGTTGCACCAGTCTGCACTCCCACCGGCAGTAGAGAAGGATTCCTTTTTCCCACAGTCCCTCCAGCATTTGTTATTGGTTGATTTCTTGATGATAGCCATTCTTTCTGGAGTGAGATGGAATCTCAGCATTGTTTTAATTTGCACACCAGATATTTATTGATTGCCTTTTTATACAGGGCATTGTGCTGTACAGTGGATTTACAAAGAAGCATGAAACAGTAATCTCTGGCCATAGGAAGTATACAGTCTAGTTCTGTAATGAGAGCAAAAGTGAGCAGAGTGTGTGGTGTTTGTGTGATGTGGTGTCTCATGGATAATTTGGGCCTCAGTACCAAGCATTTTCATCCTGCTGATGGAGAAAATATGTAACTTTGTCTTTGGGGCCAAATTGGGAGAGATACTAAATTATAAATCTCTAAAATATAAGAAGTATGCTTTATCTCAATAGCCTCTTCAGGATTTTATGCTTTGTACTTGCCTTAAATACAGACTTTGAGAAAACTTTTTTATGTCTTTTTCATTAATACAAAGGGAAGATTTTTAGAACAGTTGTGAGTTTAGAATTCATCCCTGCCGAGGAACCTGGTCATACTGGATTGAAATGAAATTTTCATGTGCCTAACATAGAACTGAAGGAGAAGGGCTTATCTACAGAGGGTTCGTTTGGATGGGGAGTCTTCTCTTTCCTTCCTGAGGTTTCTTCTCCCTGTACTCCTACTCCATGGGCAGAAGGTAGAAAAGAGTTTATCACAACTGCAGTACAGCATTTTATACTGTGGGCAAGCTACCCTCAATTTATTTGTTTTGGATCTCAGTTTCTACATATTACAATTAATTCTATTAAAAGACATCTATATTCCAGACATTCCAAGGGCCTTGTGGAAGCAGCCTGCTAGCGTTGAAATTGAGTTTGCCACTTTCTTTCTATGATCAGTTACTGGACTTAGAATTGTTTTCATTGTTCCTAAGTAGATACTGCAAATCTTGGAGGTCTGTAAATTGATGCCATTTATTTTCACCACTGAGCTTTCTGGCCAAAGTCAAAAACTAAAAGAAAAAAATCTAGCATCTGAAGTTTAAGCACTTTTCATCAAAGATCATTATGTATACGATACAAATAGAATGCCCCTAACACAAGCCTGTAACACATGCTATCTCTAAGCATTTCCATACTTGTTCTGATGCAAAGAAATATTTTCTATGAAGGAATATGAATCCCAAGAAAAAAATGTCAGAGCTAAAGGTCATATGGTTTTCTCTCAGCCTCTTACCTCTGGCTGCCAAACTGTCCAATGAAGAACATTTTGAGACAGAGGCCCAGGCCTCCTTTGAAAGCTTATCGTGCCACAACAAAGGAAGAATATCTTTCTTTGAAGGTACACTTTGGATGTTTTGTTTCTTTTGCCATCCTTTTTGTTGTGGGAGTCTAGTGTCTGCTGCCACACACCTGATTTGGAAGAGGAGGAAAAGGATTCTTGCTCCTTCAAGGGATGGAGATGGTTAGGCTACTTGATGTGCCCGAGTATGCCTGTTCTGTCTTCCCCCCAACTCTGGAAACCACAGAATAAAGGGGGTGCATTGAAGCCTGGTGTGAAGGACACACCTGTAATCCTAGCACTCAGGAGGCTGAGGCAGGAGGATCACTGTGAGGTTGAGGCCCACCTGATACCCTGTCTCCAAAAAGAAAAAAAAAAGGGTGTGCATTGCTTCAGAGTCTTACTGACATTTGGACAGTTTTTTGCATCATAATCACTGTGATCTGTTTCCTTAGGCTCTTTATTGAGAAACTACCAAAGCATCGAGATTACAAATCAGCTATCATTCCTGAAAAGAAAGATATAGTAAAGGTGGGTCTTCATTTTCTTTGTTGGCTATGGAAAAGCCTCAAAGCAGTACAAACTGAAGATAAAAGTAACAGTCTTTGCATCTAAGCATCAAATTCTGTCATAGAAGCTAAGACTGTCTCACCAGAATAGTTATGAAGTAGCAAGTATGATATAGTAGGTGGTATTATAAGGCCTTTTTTTGAAATATTGTTGCCTTTTACAATTTCATTTTTTCCTCTATTTAACTGGTATCAGAATTGTTCTAATTCTCAGTTTCTATTTTGTATCTCAGAAATTAAAGGAAATTGCATTTCCCAAAGCAGAAGAGCTGAAGGCAGAGTTGTTAAAACGATATACTAAAGAATATGCACAATATAATGAAGAAAAGGTCAGTACATAACAGCACAGAAAAGGAAAAGGAAATTGTTTGTCTTCTTAAACTGTGCCCTGGGATTATAATGTGCTATCAATAGATTCTGTTACTTTAATGTAACAGTTTACTTTTTGGGAGCAAAGGCTAGTTACTCAAAAAAGTAGGAAACTAGTGCTTAGGCTGAGAATTCTAATAGATTTGGCCTACTTGTCCAAGAGTATGACTTGAAGGACAGAAGACTATTGCCTGTCTGCCATGCCGAGAGCAAGGACCTCAAGAATAATAAAAGTTCTCACTAAAACCTAGATTTGACTCACATTTGATTATACCCAGAAATATTTGTAATAATTGATTTTTCAAATTATCTTCCAATGATTCTTGTTAGGAAGAGTCAGTAAAAGCATGGGGAGAAATACCCGGGACACTGTAGTGGTATTATGTCACCCGTGAATATGTACTCCAGGCTCTTATAGGTTATTGTAAATTTTCTAGGCTTTGTACTGTACTATAGTGTTGAAAATCAGCAGGGCAGTGAACAGCTATGAGGTGTACATTTCTAAGGCACTGACTGAGTGAACAGTTTAGTGGAGGTTATTACTTGATATTTCTTTTTGGTTTATATGTCACTCTATATTGAACTGATCATCAGAAAAATTTTAGAGGCCTCATTTTGTGTTCAAAATCAGTAGAGACTCCCAACAGAGCAGGTACAAGTTTGGATTTGGTTTTATTTTTAACCTTACTTGGGTATAACCTTACTTTTATAACCTTACTTAGGAATATATACATGGCATCGTCAGAGAATAAAGCTGTATGTGATACAGGTTATGGGGTATAGGTGCATCAAGCTTTCAGTAAAGAAGAAAATACATTAGGTGGACTCATTAAGGGAATATACTGAGGGGACTGAGACTTTAACGGTCCTTGAAGATACGTATACAGTGGGTTGGTAGAAAGAGGTGGAGACTGTATTTAGTGGCCATAGAGCTTTCCAGGGAAGCATGAATTTAGTATTCGAAAACCAGACCAGAGCAGAAGTGCATTTTGGAAATCTCCCTGCTGAGAAGCCTTGCTCTTTTGAGGTATGAAGTATTAGCATGAACTTTTTTTTTTTTTTAATCTCTTTATAGAAGAAGGAGGCGGAGGAATTTGCCCGGAACATGGCCATTCAGCAAGAGCTGGAAAAGGAAAGACAGAGGGTAGCACTACAAAAGCAGCAACAGTTGGAACAGGAACAGTTTCATGCGTTTGAAGAGATGATCCGGAACCAGGAACTGGAAAAGGAGCGACTAAAAATTGTACAGGAGTTTGGGAAAGTGGACACTGGCCTAGGTGGCCCACTGGTGCCTGACTTGGAAAAGCCCTCTTTAGATGTGTTCCCCACCTCGCCTGTCTCATCAACACAGCCTTCAGACTGTAATTCAACTCTAAGGCCAGCCAAGCCACCAGTGGTGGACAGGTCCTTGAAACCTGGAGCGCTGAGCAACTCTGAAAGTAGTGAGTCCATCTGCTGATATTCTCTTCCATCCCTTTTGTAGACAGAGTGTTATTCTAAGGATTCATCCTGTGAGTACCCCCATGATGTCACTTCCTAGGCTTTGGTCACAGATGCTCATTTGTTAAGTAGAGTCATACTGTGTGCTATCATACTGGCTATCTTGTTAACAGTGGCCTTTGCTAAAACCATATAATTTAGACAGCCAGGTTAATTTTCTGAAAAGTTAACACTATCATGGAAAATCAGACGCTCAACTTTGGGTTTTTTGTTTTGTTTTGTTTTTTTAAATTCGAGACAGGGTCTAGCTATGTATTTCAAGACATCCTTAAACTCACTATGTAGCCCAGGGCTGGCTGTAAACTCACAGCAATCCTCCTGCCTCACCCTTCCCAGTGCTGGATTTACAGACAAGTGCCACCATGCCCAGCTGGACTCTTGATTTTTAAGGGTTATACAAAGATTTGAAATGTTTCATGAATTAGAGACCACTGTTGGATTTTTGTAAAAATAATTTTTGGGGGGGTATCGGGGATTGAATTTGGGACCTTGTGCTTGCGCGGTAGGCACCAGAACCACTGAGCTAAATCCCCAGCCCTGTAAAAATAATTTTAAATGTATAACACTCCTGTGCAATTCAATGACTGACTCTTAAAAACAAAATGGGCTACTGAACTGTGCTTGCCCTGAAAACATTCCTAATCTTTAAGGACTTTAGTTAGTCAAGGTAAACAGTGTATATAGTGGGTGATTACTCAGTTCAGCCATGAAAACTACTGACAGTCTTTCCTTCTCTCATCAGTGATTGGTGATCAAGAAAATAATAGGGGCAAAATGATGAGTATACCTTGATCATTAGAATAAATTTTGGAGGAATCAACTTTCAAGTAGTCATTTAAAAAAGACTGTCAAGTTTCCAGGATGTTCCCTGGACTATCTTACCCAAAGAGATTCGTTAACATTTGTCTGCTGTCTAGACTCTCCTTTCACTATTTCTGCCTTCCCTGCTTTTCCTGAAGTTTTTCCAGGTCCCTTTAATCCGATTGATTCTGTTCTCTGTAAAACTCCCAGAGCTCTTTTTACCTCTAATACAATTTAGATCATTTACCTATTAGTGTAGTCATTTGTCAATAACTAGATTTAACTTCCTGCAGGTTAGAGTTGAGTCTTATTCATATTTGTGTTCCCTGTGGGCCAAGCACAGTGCCTACTTGGTATGCACTTAGTAAGCGATTATTGAATTGAAAAGAAAGGGCTGTGCCTATGCCAAACCTTAATTCATCCTCCTGAGATGCTGTCATCAAACTGCTGTGTGGCTGTGAGTCTCCGAGTCTGTGTCTCCTCTCTGTCAATACAGATCTTGCTGTCACGTGTGTAGAAGGAGAACATCTTTTTTTATTTTGTTGTTTTATTTTGAGACAGGATCTTGCTATGTGGCCCAGGTTGGCCTTGAACCCCCCGATGCTTCTGCTTCAGTCTCCCAAGTAGCTGGTATTACAGATATATACCACCGTACCCAACCACATTTTCCTCTTTAAATATGAAAATATGGATGTGGATGGTACTTCCTACCTGTAGCTTGCTGGCTTTCTCACAGCATTTCTCTGTGGTCTTCAGGAACTGTGTCCTTTCTTAGCATCCCGAGGCAGATTTCTGAGTAGCTTCCTTCATGCTTTTTTGGGGAAACAGGACTATGTGTTTTGTTACTTGGAATTTAGTATTTAAAATTTCATTGAAAAGACTAAATTCACAAATAAATAACTATCCAAATAATTTTCCACTATCAAGAATACATAATGATGTTTTTCTTTGAAAGCCATACTCTGATATTACTATAAGATAAAAGAGAGATATAAAATAAAAAGTTCAGTTGAATAGGAAGGGTTTTTTCTGTTTGTTTGTTTTTTGTTTTGGGGGGATTTTTTTTGGTACCAGGGATCGAACTTGGGTCCTTGCACTTGCACAGCAGGCAGCGAAACCACTGAGCTAAATCTCTGGCCCAAGAAGGGTTTTTTTTTTTAATCCTTTGTATTAGATTCTGTCAGAGAATCCCCAAATATCTCAGGATATTTTTTCAAAGTAGTAATTTCAGCTGGGCATGGTGGTACCCACCTGTCATCCTGGCACTTGGCAGGCTGAGGCAGGAGGATTGCCAGGAGTTCAAGGGCAGCGTGGACTACATAGTGAAAAAACAAAACAAAAAAGTAGTAGTTATTCTTGTCTTACCTTGAATAATTAAAGATTACTCTTTTTTTTTAATGTGGTATCAAAAGCATTAACTCAAAAGTCTAACATTCAAAGTTTCATCTGAATTAGATATAGGTGAGATATAAAACACAATTCATCCTTCTCCAACTGTGAGCATGTAAAATTGACAAGTTATGTGCTTCCAAAACACAGTGGTGGGATAGGTGTAGGATAGTCACTTCCTTTCCAGAAAGGAGAAATAGACAAGAAGAAAGGAGTAACTCACTGGTCGTAAGTAAGTCTAAAATCCAGCAGAGAAAACATTAACTCTTAAACCTAGAGAATAATCTCCTTTGACTCCATGTCCTTCATCCTTAGCACACTGGAGTGGGGCTTGGACCCTCAAGGCCTCAGACAGCCCCGTCTCTGTGGCTTTGCTGGGCTTAGTCCACCCAGCAGCTCTCAAGGGTTGGAGTCTCATGTCTGCAGCTTTGCAGGTTGGATTCATATGCTGATGGGCCCTGTAGTTCTGGGGTCTTGAGGGGCTGTCCTGCATCTGAGACTGCAATAGGCACTGTCCTAGTGGGACTCTTTTTGGTGGCTTTGCCCTTGGTAATTCTCTGCCTGGTCTCCCAGGCTATCTCCAACATCCTTTGAAATCTAGATGGAGTCTGCCATGGCCCCATAGCTCTTAAGGTAATTGGCTTATATGATTGTGGAGGCTTAACCCCTTAACAGGCTTTATGCAAGGTGGAGATCCTAGAATGCTGGTAGCATAGCTAAATCTACATCGTAAAGAAACTAAGGCCTGAGAAACCAGGAGGCCACTGGTCCAAGTCCTGGAGTCTAGAGTCCAGAAATCAGGAGTCCTGATGCTAAGGACAGGAGAAGAATATCCCAGTTCTGGGAGACAGAGAGGGAGGAAATTGCCTTTCTTCTGCCTCTTTTGTTCTATCCAGCCCCCCAGCTGATTGTGTAGTCACCACTCATATTGAGGGTAGCTTTTCCATACTCTGAGGACCCACACCCCAGCTTCCTTCAGAAACACCGTCACAGACACACCCAAAATAATGCTTTACCAGTTCTCAGGTATTCCATAATCCAGTCAGGTTGATAGCTACAGTTAACCATCACAGCTCCCAATTAGCTATGGCCAGAAGTTGAAGAAGAGACTTTACAATCCCCCTTTGGTGACGTTAGGGTGAGATGCCCACTAGCTGTCTGAAGCTGGGGGAATCCCAATGACTTAGAATTGCTCTATCAGGCTCCCAGCCGTGAGGCCGGCTTGGGGAAACTCAGCCCCGTGGTTTCAGACTTTTTTCCATTCTCCATTACAGTTCCTGCAATCGACGGTTTGCGTCATGTGGTGGTGCCTGGGAGGCTGTGCCCACAATTTCTTCAGTTAGCCAGTGCCAACACTGCCCGGGGAATAGAAACATGTGGAATTCTCTGCGGAAAACTGGTAAAAGCAAACAAACTTTTCTGAACTGAGACTGTGTCTTCTTCTTGGCCTCTGTGACTCAGAGAAGATGCCAGGGTCAGTTATTCTTTATGCCAGTCCCTTCACAGAAGCAGCCATGGACTATACGTAATACAGCCCCTTAGATTTGGTGACTCTGTATTTGGTTGCTTTCCAGAGTCTCTTGAATTGAACTGATTACTTCAATGCTATTGTTAGAAATTTTAACCTTAATGAAAGATCCAGTCACACCTATATATCCTCTTCTGAGCACCTACTTTATCGTAGTATATGAGAATATAAAATATGTAAGTATATAGTATGAGGTGTGATTGAAACATCCAGTACATTTTTAATTTTAAAAAATTGTTACAATAAAAGACACTGCTATTGATCCCTCTCAAAATACTACCCACACACACTCTTTGAATGCACTGTAAACTGCTTTAGAAAGTGACAGGAATGATGAGATAAGTGTGTTCAAAATGAGGGAGAGTAGTGTGAGGGTGATTAATGGCAATGTATCTTTTGCTATAATAAATTTTTTTGTTTAAACATTCACTGTAGTTTTTGATGACCCCACATATGTCCACAAAAAGTGTCCAGTCACTTTGGAGAGATGGAAAACATATACCAAATGATGAAAATCATGCTGAATACTGTGTACAATATGAGCACTAGGAATTTTGAGGAAGGAAAGATCATTGAATGGAAATTCTTAAAGGACTCATTATTAACACTGAATGAATCATGACTGAAATGCAGGAGACTTAACATGAGCCTTAAAGGAAGAGAAGGACATAACAGTGAAAGGGAAACTTGCCTTAAATGTGAACAGGGCTGTGGTTTTTACCCAGGCTGTGGTGTTTACCTAGGTTGTGGTGTTTCCAGGCTGTGCCTCAGATGGAGCCCTGGGGTTGGTCTCAACATCTGTCAGATTACAGAGCACCCAGCAGTGCATGTGAGCAGCTAAGGTTGTGAACCCCTGAGGTGAGGGATTCAGGGAGCACAAAAGAGACTCACACTGGGATGGGAAAGGGCCTTCTCTGTGTAGATGTTTAACTTTTCACTGTTAGGACAGCGGATTGCAAGAGTATCAGGCCATCATGACAAGTTGTTTTGTCCTTTGGCAGATGAGGAATGAATTTACCATTACCCACGTTCTCATCCCCAAGCAAAGTGCTGGATCTGATTATTGCAACACAGAGAATGAAGAAGAACTTTTCCTCATACAGGATCAGCAGGGTCTCATCACACTGGGCTGGATTCATGTAAGCAAATCTGAGCTAAGGGCTTGTCTTCTCTTTTCTCATTGTGTAATAAGCACACTGCTTGCTTCTTTCTTGGAACAAAGTAAACATTATCTAGATTATTTATTGTTTTCCTCCTTTGGAGGCAATGCTTAGCATCCTTAACAACTTGCACTTTAATTTTGATTTCTGGGAACTACTTAGGGCTTTTAAATTTCTTTACATATTTATTTTTTTTAAATAAAAATAAACTAATTTTCCTAAAGTCCCAGTTTCCCAGTGAATGTGAATGGTGATAGGATGGTGCCCTAAAATATATGTTTATTGGCCATAAAAACTCTGTCAATGCAAACTATCCTATATACAAATGATGTTCCTAAAATATAAATAAATCAAAATATTTTAAGTGAACCAAGGAAGTTAGATGGTTGTATTCAGTCTTTATGAAGCAGCATATACCTTTATGTAAACCAGACTTGCCGCCAGTATACGTTTGGATATCTTGTGAAGACTTCCGGTAAAATATAATTCCTTCCCTAAAGATTATCTCTTAATTTTTTCCTCTTGCTCCCAATCCCACACTCTCATAGACCAAACTGCTTTTCATGTGTGAGATGTGTGAGTTGCTGACAAGTAAATTGGCTTATTTCTGAATTTAGGATGATCACACATACTTATATGTCAGAACAGGAAACACTGACCTGTGAGACGGTCTCATGTGCCTTCATCCTTTCTTCAGTTCAATTGCATAAATATTTACTGATTTGCCTACTGTTGTATAGCTCCTCATCCCCATTGTAGTATATGGGGGATAGAAAACTTCCTTCCTATCTGTGAAGGGGTACAAATGTAAATAAGATATGATTTTAGCCTGGGATTTAGCTCAGTGGTTCCCACCACCTGCCTCGCAAGTGCAAGGTCCCGAGTTTGATCCCCCCCAAAAAGATATGATTTTAGTCTCACAAGGGAGATTGCACAAATAGACAATGTACAACTCTTCCCATGAGGTAGAGTGCATTAAGGGCCACAAGAGGTGCCAGGAAGACACTATGGAATTAATTCAGAGGAAGGAGAGATCATACCTGGACTGCTTCATGAGAATTCTGACAAGATGAGCCAAGGGAGAGTTTCATGTGAAGGGGCAACATTGGGAAGGGGATGTTTGTGAGCTGGGCAATGATATGATCAGAGCCATACTTTAGGAAACTTAAAGGCAATTTAAGGTAGGTTGAAATGGAGAGATCATTTTAGAGATTAGTTTAGTGATTAATAAGATGAGAGCTAAGGTGATGGCAGTGTGTTTGGGAAGGAGGAAGTGAAGGTAGAGCTTCAGAGGATTTGAGGAATGAGTAATAAAGGATAATGAGTAAGAGTCAATGATGACTCAGAGATTTGAGGCCTGGCTCGTGGGGGTGGCAGTGATCATCTCATAAGCAGACAAAGAGAGTCCAGAAGGAGGAATGACTTTAGAAGTGGGGTTCAGTTCTGAGCATGTTGATTTTAAGGTATTTGTGAGGCATCAGGTTGTTGGAGATAGTTAGCAGACAGTTGGAGCAAGGTCAAAGCAGGAGGAAGATCTGGGAGTCTTCTGCCCAGAGCTGACCTTGAAAGTAAGCAGGGAGAAATGAGAGCAAGAGGTTTACTGACAACTCGAGACATGAGCTAAAAAGTTGTTGGTAGTAAAACAGATGTGTGAGAAGGTAAGGTTCATGTTAGGGGACAGAAATCACAATAGGAGGGATATTGTAAGGAAGAATTTCAGTATACTAACTGTGCCACGTAATATAGAGAACTCCAGCATGGTGTAGAATTGGATCAGCCTGTTACATTTGGTGAAATCATTGAGGATATTGGTTTAGTGGGTTTTGGGCAGTGGTGGGGATAGACTGTAAAGTTTAAGAAGTCATGGGGTTTGAAGTTGTGGCAGTAGTGAAGTGGGCACTGCCATTTTAAGAAGCTTAGTTCTAGAGCAGTGGAGAAGAATGACATGATGACTTGAACCTAAACTAAACATGCACTTTAATGAATCAGGAAATAACATTTATGTGTACCCTACCTAAGTGAGAAAATAGGATGCTGTCAGGGACCTGCTCCTACCCAGTCATATTTCCTTTTTGGAAAAAGCCTTCTGCTTTTCTCATCGTTCTTTCCTTGCTTTATTTATAGATTACCACCTACATGTGTATCCCTAAAAACTATAGTTTAGCTTTGCTCAGTTTTGACCTTTTTATAAATGGATCTATACAATACATATTTTTTGTTTCTTGTTTTGCTCAACCTTTTGAAGGTTCACCCATATTCTGGGGTGTGGTTGTCTGAATGTGTTTTTATTTCCAGTAAGCTAGTGGAGGAAGGTTAAAAGGGCAAGAGAAACAAGGTAGTGTGATAGTAGGAAAGTATCAAATCAGAAGTACAGAAGGGCTTCATCTTGCTATGGGAAAGAAAACACCTATTCCTCCAAGACAAGATTAAAGGAAGAAAGAGATACAGAGAGTTTTGAAATATTTGGATAAGTCAAGGAGACTCATTTCAGACAATCTTGATTTTGGTAAAGTTAAGAGTCGAGGTCTGCTGCTAGAAATAGATTTAGAAACTGGAGGAGATGAGGAAAGCTTGGGATAATTACTATTTAGATTTAGGTAGAACTTGGCCACAAATGAATAAAGGTTTCTACATATCATTGAAGGCCCAGCTATGAACAAATTTAGAACGTAAATTGATAGTAGTTCAGTTATTTTCCCCCATGGTATTTCTGTACCATTTCTTTCTAATTTGAGATTAAAAAAAAAAAAAAGCAGACCGTAAGTTTTGTTCAGATCTTAAAATTTCAGGAGGAGAATGCAAAAAGATCAGTTCTCCTTCTACACCTTGCCAACTATAAATCAGCTTCCTTGGAAAAAAACATTGCATGATCACATAATGATCGTAAACTATTGGCAACTCCACCACCACCAGTACTGAGGGCCTCGTCTTCCTCCTTGTGTCTTAGCTCTTGTTAGTCCTCACTGCTTTGTCTTGTGGCTGCTGTGCCCCCATCCAGACATGCAGGGCACTCTCAGCATTCACTCTGCTTGCTCACTCCCCTGCTTTGGCATATTGTTTCCTTATGAAAGTGCCTTCCTTGATCCACAGCAGAGTAGACACAGTGAACATAAAACTACTTGTTCAAGAAACTTGACTGGAAAAGGAAGGAGGGAGAGAAGTTATAGTAGCTTAGAGGTGGGTAGGGGAGCAAAACAGGGTTATTTATTTAGTGTCAGTTATTTACCAAAGCCCTGTTGTATCTTTTTATTATCTTTTCAAGCCACCCAATTTTAGATTTGAGGTCTTGATTAGCTGGTGTAGGCCTCTTTTTTTTCGTACCAGGGTTGAACTTATGGCCTTGTGCTTGCCAGGCAGGCATGGTGCCACTGAGCTAAACCCCCAGCCCTGGTGTAGGTCTCGTCTGCTTCCGTCTTGAATCCCAGGCTCTAACTGTGAGGTGAACAGTGTTGGCTCAGGCCTTGCTCCCTAGTCTAAAGGAGTACGTTACCGTCAAGTAGAAACTGTTTTTCTTCATGGTCACCAAAGCTCTTACACACTCTCTGAGGTGCCGTGTGGATCTGCTGCCAGCACTCAGCTGACACTCTTTTGCTCTGCAGACCTCTTCCACACTGCGTAAGCTTGTATCAGCATTCTATGGAGTGGTGCTTCACAGATAAAACTACGTATTAGAACCATGTACTGAGCTTTTAAAAAGTGTTCACTCTCATGATGATATTTCCAGGAAGTGGTACAAGAGTCTGTGCTTTTGGTAAGCTTCTCAGGAGATTCAAGTTTTGCGCAGCATGTTTGAAAACACTAGTCAATTGTACCTGTTTATTTTCTATGCTTTTTGTGTTTTTTTTCCCCCCATTAACTTTATTGGTACATTTTAGGTATAAAATACAGTTACATTCATCATTGGGATCTTGTACCATTACATGAGTATCTAGAT